GGGGTAGTCATGGTGGAACCGAAAAGGGCCTTCACCAAACTGGTCACACCATGTCTTTATGGAGCTGGCTTTGTACACAGGGGACAGTCATGGTGGAACAGGAAAGGGCCTTCACCACACATGTCTTTATGGAGCTGGCTTTATACACAGGGGGCAGTCACGGTGGAACCGAAAAGGGCCTTCACCAAACTGGTCATGCCATCTCTTCATGGATCTGGTCCTTATTATCCTTGTGTTAAATCTTTGTGAATTAAGCCTTGTGAAGTATAAAGTCTGAACCACATAGGAGGCAACGGAAATACCACCCAAGCGCCCATGTAGGTGGGATTTAAGGTATTATTTTAATAAATTACAAATTATTGACATCCCTCTCCCTCACAACCATGGTACTCCATGAAATCTCCTCCCCCCTGCTCATGTTATTGGCCCACTGCCTCTCTGCAGAGAGCTTGAGTTTGGATTACAGGCATCCTCTGCAATGCCTTCACTGCCCTGAGATACTCATCACTGGTGAAAGAAGAAGCTTGCACCCCATTGGCTGTTCTGTGATTGAATTGACCCTCTTTATAGGTGACAGCGGAGTCTTGACGGCCCCCCTCCCCCCTTTGGTGAACTTACTGTATCAGAACCTTCTTACCTGCCGGCAGTGCTGTAAAATCTCCTCGTTACTTCCTGGACAGCTTGGCATGCCTCGGGGGTCTGACACCCACTCCCCCGTCGTCAGGTCCATGTGAAGAGGCACCCGCCCGCAGAACAGGGCCAGCTGGGGCTTCCATGCTGAGATAGTCTGCGAGGAAGGAGAAGGTGTTAGCATAGGACTGGATACAGGAGGAGGCCGGACCGTGCTGAGGCATCGTGCTGCCTAGGCACATCCGAATGATGATGCTCCCCCTTTTTTTTTACAAGCCCCACCCCTTCTGTCATGTGATTATTTTTGCAATACATAAAGATCTATAGGAGGCAGCAGGCGGTCTTCTATATGTTTAGAGATATTTTTCAACTGCAGATGGTTTCATATTTCCTAAACTGTAGAGAGTCTTCTGACACCTCTCGGCATCCCCTGCATCCCATTCTCACCGCATCCCCTGCAGATGGTTTCCATATTTCCTAATCTGTAGCGAGTCTTCTGACTCCTCTCACCATCCCCTGCGCCCATTCTCCCCTTTGAAACCCATCAACCTCCATAGGAGGGCCAGAACAGCAGAACAGGGTCTCGGTGCTGCCCCCATCTGGCCATTATGATAACTGCAGCCCTGGCAATTATAGAATTCGAGCCGCCATAGGGCCACCTATTGGTTATCAGTTGCATGGGGGTGTACCTAAAAATTGTGCAATGCTCTGCCCCCCCGGACACTAAATTTCCCCAAATTCTGCACCTGAGGGCCCCTTCAAT